TTAAAATATTTAAGTGTCACTACACATGCAGGACTGTGCAGAAACACTTCACAACAGATGACTAACACAGTAGAGTGCCAGGGTTCTGGTATAAATTTAACACTACATATGGAACAGCCTACATGAAATTTGCATGGGACAATAAATACAGATGCTGAAGAAACGTATGGCCTAATGTGGTGTGTGATTCACAGGGTTTTTCCCCTCAGTGGAGAGTCAGGCTTGTTGATCTAGCAAGCAGACTGCCAAATGAGGGATTTGAAGATATGTAACCAAAGGATGAATGAACTAGATGATAAACTAATCACAGAGGAACTGTGGCAGGAATTCAACTCCTGGATGGAAGGGATGCAGAGAACAGATGACGATGACAATGTTGGTGCCTCCCACCCCAAGAGATACACAAGTTGCTGAATGATAGATAAAGTTGTAGATTTGTGTATTGAAAGGTACCATGACTCACTGATAAAGCCTAAGTACCTGCTCTAGTGAGTGTTATGAAGCACACACAAGAGCAGGTACTTGGGCCTTATCATTTGCTGTAAAACAGACACATGACAATACCAGAGTACATCAGTGCAACCATCAACTAACAATATAGCATTGACATCAATACAAGATCCCTACGGTTTAACAGTACCTCCCCATCCACAACCACCAACCTTGGCCCAGCAGGACCAGTCACCCTTTCTACTGATTTCAGATAATTAAATATAAACAATGGTAGTAGGTTGGTAGACAGCAACCACCCAGGGAGGTACTACCGTCCTGCCAAGTGAGTGTAAAACGAAAGCCTGTGATTGTTTTACATGATGGTAGGATTGCTGATGTCTTTTGTCTGTCTCATAAATATGCAAGATTGCAGGTATGTCTTGCTACTTCTACTTACACTTAGGTCACACAACACATACATGTACACATTTATTTATACACACTCATCTGAGTTTTCTTTGATTTTATCTTAATAGTTCTTGGTCTTATTACTTTTCCTTTTATATCCATGGGGAAGTGGAATAAGAATCTTTCCTCCGTAAGCCATGCGTGTTGTAAAAGTCAACTAAAATGCCGGGAACAATGGGCTAGTAACCCCTTTTCCTGTAAAGATTACTAAAAAAAATAAGAAGAAAATTGTCAAAGTGGGAAGTCTGAATGTGCGTGGATGTTGTGCAGATAAGAAAGAGATGATTGTGGATGTTATGAATGAGAAGAAGCTGGATGTCCTGGCTTTAAGTGAAACAAAGCTGAAGGGGTGGGAGAGTTTCAGTGGAGAGGAATAAATGGGATTAGGTCAGGGGTTTCAAATAGAGTTAGAGCTAAAGAAGGAGTAGCAATAATGTTGAAGGATAAGCTATGGCAGGAAAAGAGGGACTATAAATGTATTAATTCAAGGATTACGTGGAGTAAAATAAAGATTGGATGTGAAAAGTGGGTTATAATAAGTGTGTATGCACCTGGAGAAGAGAGAAGTGTAGAGGAGAGAGAGAGATTTTAGGAAATGTTGAGTGAATGCGTGGGGGGGTTTTGAATCAAGTGTGAGAGTAATGGTGGTTGGGGATTTCAATGCTAAAGTGGGTAAAAATGTTATGGAGGGAGTAGTAGGTAAATTTGGGTTGCCAGGGGTAAATGTAAATGGGGAGCCTTTAATTGAGCTATGTGTAGAAAGAGATTTGGTAATAAGTAATACATATTTTATGAAAAAGAGGATAAATAAATATACAAGGTATGATGTAGCACGTAATGAAAGTAGTTTATTAGATTATGTATTAGTGGATAAAAGGTTGATGGGTAGGCTCCAGGATGTACATGTTTATAGAGGGGCAACTGATATATCGGATCATTATTTAGTTGTAGCTACAGTTAGAGTAAGAGGTAGATGGGAAAAGAGGAAGGTGGCAACAACAAGTAAGAGGGAGGTGAAAGTGTATAAACTAAGGGAGGAGGAAGATCGGGTGAGATATAAGCGACTATTGGCAGAAAGGTGGGCTAGTGCAAAGATGAGTAGGGGGGGGGGGGGGTTGAAGAGGGTTGGAATAGTTTTAAAAATGCAGTATTAGAATGTGGGGCAGAAGTTTGTGGTTATAGGAGGGTAGGGGCAGGAGGAAAGAGGAGTGATTGGTGGAATGATGAAGTAAAGGGTGTGATAAAAGAGAAAAAGGTAGCTTATGAGAGGTTTTTACAAAGTAGAAGTGTTATAAGAAGAGCAGAGTATATGGACAGTAAAAGAAAGGTAAAGAGAGTGGTGAGAGAGTGCAAAAGGAGAGCAGATGATAGAGTGGGAGAGGCACTGTCAAGTAATTTTAATGAAATTAAGAAAAAATTTTGGAGTGAGTTAAACAAGTTAAGAAAGCCTAGGGAAAGTATGGATTTGTCAGTTAAAAACAGAGTAGGGGAGTTAGTAGATGGGGAGATGGAGGTATTAGGTAGATGGCGAGAATATTCTGAGGAACTTTTAAATGTTAAGGAAGAAACAGAGGCAGTAATTTCATGCACTGGTCAGGGAGGTATACCATCTTTTAGGAGTGAAGAAGAGCAGAATGTGAGTGTGGGGGGAGGTACGTGAGGCTTTACGTAAAATGAAAGGGGGTAAAGCAGCTGGAACTGATGGCATCATGACAGAAATGTTAAAAGCAGGGGGGGATATAGAGTTGGAGTGGTTGGTACCTTTGTTTAATAAATGTATGAAAGAGGGGAAGGTACCTAGGGATTGGCAGAGAGCATGTATAGTCCCTTTATATAAAGGGAAAGGGGACAAAAGAGACTGTAAAAATTATAGAGGAATAAGTTTACTGAGTATACCTGGAAAAGTGTACGGTAGGGTTATAATTGAAAGAATTAGAGGTAAGACAGAATGTAGGATCGCGGATGAGCAAGGAGGTTTCAGAGTGGGTAGGGGATGTGTAGATCGTGTTTACATTGAAGCATATATGTGAACAGTATTTAGATAAAGGTAGGGAAGTTTTCATTGCATTTATGGATTTAGAAAAGGCATATGATAGAGTCGATAGAGGAGCAATGTGGCAGATGTTGCAAGTATATGGAATAGGTGGCAAGTTATTAAAGGCTGTAAAGGGTTTTTATGAGGATAGTGAGGCTCAGGTTAGGGTGTGTAGAAGAGAGGGAGACTACTTCCCGGTAAAAGTAGGTCTTAGACAGGGATGTGTAATGTCACCATGGTTGTTTAATATATTTATAGATGGGGTTGCAAAGGAAGTAAATGCTAGGGTCTTCGGGAGAGGGGTGGGATTAAATTTTGGGGAATCAAATTCAAAATGGGAATTGACACAGTTACTTTTTGCTGATGATACTGTGCTTATGGGAGGTTCTAAAGAAAAATTGCAAAGGTTAGTGGATGAGTTTGGGAATGTGTGTAAAGGTAGAAAGTTGAAAGTGAACATAGAAAAGAGTAAGGTGATGAGGGTGTCAAATGATTTAGATAAAGAAAAATTGGATATCAAATTGGGGAGGAGGAGTATGGAAGAAGTGAATGTTTTCAGATACTTGGGAGTTGATGTGTCGGCGGATGGATTTATGAAGGATGAGGTTAATCATAGAATTGATGAGGGTAAAAAGGTGAGTGGTTCGTTGAGGTATATGTGGAGTCAAAAAACGTTATCTATGGAGGCAAAGAAGGGAATGTATGAAAGTATAGTAGTACCAACACTCTTATATGGGTGTGAAGCTTGGGTGGTAAATGCAGCAGCGAGGAGAAGGTTGAGGCAGTGGAGATGTCCTGTTTAAGGGCAATGTGTGGTGTAAATATTATGCAGAAAATTCGGAGAGTGGAAATTAGGAAAAGGTGTGGAGTTAATAAAAGTATTAGTCAGAGGGCAGAAGAGGGGTTGTTGAGGTGGTTTGGTCATTTAGAGAGAATGGATCAAAGTAGAATGACATGGGAAGGAAGGCGGGGTAGGGGTCGTCCTCGAAAGGGTTGGAGAGAGGGGGTAAAGGAGGTTTTGTGGGCAAGGGGGCTTGGACTTCCAGCAAGCGTGCGTGAGCGTGTTAGATAGGAGTGAATGGAGACGAATGGTACTTGGGACCTGACGATCTGTTGGAGTGTGAGCAGGGTAATATTTAGTGAAGGGATTCAGGGAAACCGGTTATTTTCATATAGTCGGACTTGAGTCCTGGAAATGGGAAGTACAATGCCTGCACTTTAAAGGAGGGGTTTGGGATATTGGCAGTTTGGAGGGATATGTTGTGTAACTTTATATGTGTATGCTTCTAAACTGTTGTATTCTGAGCACCTCTGCAAAAACAGTGATAATGTACGAGTGTGGTGAAAGTGTTGAATGATGATGAAAGTATTTTCTTTTTGGGTATTTTCTTTCTTTTTTGGGTCACCCTTCCTCAGTGGGAGACGGCCGACTTGTTGAAAAAAAAAAAAAAATATAAACAAGATTTTAAGGTAAATGTTATAGAACCTTCTAGGCTATGTGTTTAGAGATGGGATGATACCAAATTTTTTGCTGATACTGATGCCATCAAAATTAACCAATACCAGTGTGATACTGATCTACACAAATTAGCCAATCCCCAATACTACTGATACTCAGTTTTAGGTCAATAATGATATAGATACCATCAAATTTAGCTGATACAACAGATGCTGATATTTTGGTACACCCCTCCTACACATACTTCACTAGATTACCATACAGGCATTTCACAAAGTATCCATCATCAATAATGTTGGGTAAGAAAAATTCTTATTTGGAGGTATGAGGAATGCAACCCAATTTTTCCCATACGTTATTCAGTCATGGCTTTTTTGGATGAGTGAGGAATGCACCCCAATTTTTCCCATACGTTATTCAGCCACAAGTTACTAAAATCATTGGTAGGTCGGATTTCAGGAACATAGCCCACACAAATTTTGACCTTCTGTTACATCGTGGACACTGCTGATGAGAAACACATGAAGCAATTAACAGTATTATTAATGAATTTACAGTCACCACACTTCTTTAAATGCTATTAGGAATATAAAGAAAAACCCATAATTACAAAGTCTATCTATGTATTGTAGAGGGCTGAATGAATGAATGAACTAAGTACAGAAAAAATTAGCATATCCATACAAAAATCTGATGAGTGTCTCATGATTTTGCATCCATGACAATCCCTCTGCTGGACTCGAGGTCTGGCCCTTAGCATCACTTGCCCATAGGACAAATTTAGGACAGATTTGGGTAACACTGCTGCTATAGACTTAGTTATATTGTTAATTACTATAAAAAAATACTTTTTTCAATTAAAATTGTAGAGATTATTTTTCTTACATTAAAGATAAATTATATAATCAACAGACTAGAATTAGTGATTCATATAATTATACATAATAGCTCTTTTGCAGATACATACTGAGAATATAGCAGCATAATATATACCCAGCAAGACATAGAAATGTGTATATGTACAGTTATCACATCAACAAATTAACAAAACAAAAATTGGTGAATAAATGATAGGTGATATTTTGACCATTTTCTTATAATTTGATGCAGGGGTGGGAAGGCCACACATCAGTGGATGAAGAGCAGCTTTGACTATAATCTTCCGAATGCATTAGAACCTGTTTTCTCTTACAAATTCTGCGTTAAAAATAGTAAGAATTCTGCTGTTACTGTAACATAATAAATACCTGTGAAAAATAGAGATAATGGGAGTTGAAGAAAAGTAAACTGATCTGTGCTTGTATAGACTACAGTAAAAAGATGGATTGTAAGGGAGACTGACCCTCGACAGGAGTTCTAGCCATCTTCACAGATAACAGGCAGGAACTCTTGGCACAATAAGTACTACACTGCCAAAGGTCATTCTGGAACCTTGGAAAAGGTGTGGAGTGATTACGACACAGCGCTGGTGGAAGTCTTATACCCAGTCCAAAACTTGATACTGGTGCAGAAAAATCTTCAATTGGACAAAATACAAAGTACACAAATTATCACTAATATCACTACGAATCACTGTAAATTTCATGATGAACATGCGGCAACCATATGTACACAAAAAATCTGAATAAAAAATAGTGTGGGTGCTGAATAGTTATTGTTATTTTTCAGTTTGAACTTTTAGTGGTATTCAAGATTTACTGACCTATTTAGGCAGCAATCGATTTCCCCCTCACTTTATTTCTGCACACAGCATTATCTTTTGGTAAAAATCAAACTTTCTATACAAATTAAATTTTTCTATAGAAGTTTTTATTGATTTTATCACACTTTATGTACTTTCCCTTATTAACATTCTTGAAGATTGGCAATGATTCAGCAAACACTGTTCTTCAGCCATGACATCTATCACCTCAATAAGCCAGTCAGATCATTTTGTCAATGAAACATCTTGGATGTTGCTCTTTTCCTCAGGTACTCCTCATGGATTCATACTTTCATCTAGCTGTGAGTCAACCTAGAGAACTAGTCTACAGATCCACCATCTTGCATCAGCCTCTAAGCTTCCACTCACACAAAATTCCTCTCATAACACATATAAGAGGGCTTTGAACTTTGATTCTTCTAGTAGTAGAAGTTCCATTTTGCAGTACCACAAGACTGAAAGAGGAAAAGGTAATTGTAGCAAACACCAAACTCCTCGCATTACTGAAACCTTTTATTTAATGAAGACAAACCATGGGCCTAGAAAATGGCTTTTGACTTTTTAGTTTACTTTGCATCCAGTTGTAGTTCGCGTTAACATTCCCAGTCCGGGCATTAAGCCCCTATAGGGATCTCATCGTGCCACTGTTTCTATACACAGTACCGGAATCTAACACAAACTGGGGAGCGAGAGAGTTGGAGTGTCCTCTCTGGAATAATTTCCACCACAGCAACACAAACCAGTGAGCCACACACTGATACATCACACTACACTTTTTAGTGTTCGTCTTGTGCACACAAGTCATTATCCAATGTGATGCAGCACACCAGCCACATTAGAGCGTCCACAAATGATCCCAAGCACCCCAACAGGGAATGTATTGTCGCTCAGCTGATTGGCTCATGGGGTTGGGGAGTGGAATCGGGTCCTGATTTTCTTGCCTTTCTGTTCGGATCAATCACTGGTGATGTGTGTAATGGGTGTAGTCGTGGGCGTAGGCGTAGAAGGAGAGAGATCTTTCTCCTGAATCTTTTTCCAAGGTCGTCGGGCAGCCCGCTTCAGGTCATTGGTTGTTAAACTTTTGCGCAATTTCCTGTCAATAAATTAATGTATCAGTAAAATATAAATAAGCAATCTTAATGTGTACTTTAGTGAATTAGGATTTAGACATGCTCAATGGAAAACACATATAGTGCTCGCAGACTTACATAATTTATGAATTCACACAATGGTATATTACCTATTCCTCAGCAGCTTCTGCACATATTCAAAAGTGCCCCAAAATCTCCTGGCCCAATCTTTACCACACTTGCCAAATCCTGCTATGCTCTTGTTAAACTTTATATTTAATTAATGACATGCAAAATAAATGACAGCAGGTATCCTAATGAAGCACTGGCTTATGTAAATGTCTCAACTACAGAATAATTAAATTAATCCTAGTTCTACGTTTTGCCATATTCCCCTGATTTAACTACAATAAACTGGTTATTTTAATAGCATTACCATATTAAACTTTATACTTTTTTTTAACAATGGCTGTATCCCACCAAGTTAGGGTTACACACAAAAAGGGAAACAAATGCATTATTCATTCAATAACTCTCTTGCCAGAAGTGCACAGACATCAAAATTCAAATAATTCTCAGAAAAGATTCATCCTTTACAAATCCTTAATAGTAATGTATATCTGTTGTGTTTGGTAATGGTCCTGAGGCTCATCACTAGGCTTCATAAATTGGAAAGAAAAGAACATACTATTCCAAAAAATAAAATCATACTTTTTACAAATTTTAATTCCTACATAAGTTTATGAATGTCAATAATTGCAAAATCACTAAGTAAACACAATAAAGCATCAATACCTTGTTAAAAATCAGTGAATGCTAAATCATCTTTCAAAATTCTTACAGCTGCTAAAACATAAGAAACATATACAGCATAAAGAGTCTGGGTAAAAGCATATTTGTAAATTATCCCAGCCAGAGTATTGTAACATTTTTCATACACCTAAACATCTCAGAAAAAAAGCCAATGCTAGAGGAATTTACAAAGTAAATGAAATGCAACCCAAACATGTCAAGTATTAGATACATATAATGAAAACATAATTTGTACAATTTAAAACCAATAATTATAAAATTAAATAGAAATGGAGCAATATACAAAAACCAACATCATGGACTTTAATGACAATCTCAAAGATCTATCACAAACAATAATTAAACAAAGCTTGAATGTTAACCCTCTCACTGTCGGTCAAGTAGATCTTCGTCAATAGGATCAGTGTCACTCACGTATATCTTTCTTTGTCTCAATGCACTGACCATATCCCACCGAGGCAGGGTGGTCCAAAAAAAAAAAAAAAAAAAAAGTTTTTCTTTTAAATTTAGTAATATATACAGAGGCACTGTCAAGAAATTTTGAAGAAAATAAGAAAAAGTTTTGGAATGAGATAAACAAGTTAAGAAAGCTTAGGGAACGAATGGATTTGTCAGTTAAAAATAGAGAAGGGGAGTTAGTAGATGGGGAGCTGGAGGTATTGGGTAGATGGCAGGAATATTTTGAAGAACTTTTAAATGTCGATGAAGAAAGGTAGAGGATAATTTCATGCACTGGTCAGGGAAGTATAACATCCTTTAAGAGTGAAGAAGAGCAGGATGTGAGTGTGGGAGAGGAGCATGAGGCATTATATAGAATGAAAGGGGGTAAAGCAGCTGGAATTGATGGAATTATGACAGAAATGTTACAAGTAGGGGGGAATATAGTGTAAGTGGTTGGTAATTTTGTTTAAAAAATGTATAAAAGGGAAAGGTACCTAGGGACTGGTAGAGAGCATGTATAGTTCCTTTATATAAAGGGAAGGGGGTACAAAAGAAACTGTAAAAAATATTAGGGAATAAGTTTACTGAGTATACCAGGAAAAGTGTATGGTAGGTTATTATTGAAAGAACTGGAGGTAAGACAGAAAGTAGGACTGTAGATGAACAAGGAGGCTTTAGAGTGTGTATGGGATGTGTAGATCAAGTATTTACATTAAAGCATATATGTGAACAGTATTTAGATAAAGGTAGGGGAGTTTTCAATGCATTTATGGATTTAGAAAAGGCATATGATAGAGTGCATAGGGGAGCAATGTGGCAGATGTTGCAAGTACATGTATATGGAATAGGTAGTAAGTTACTAAATGCTGTAAAGAGTTTTTATGAGGACAGCGAGGCTCAGGTTAGGGTGTAGGAAAGAGGGAGATTACTTCCCGGTAAAAGTAGGTTTTAAGACAGGGATGTGTGATGTCACCATGATTGTTTAATATATTTGTAGATGGGGTTGTAAAAGAATTAAATGTTAGGGTGTTGGGGAGAGGGGTGGGATTAAATTATGGTGACTCAAGTACAAAATGGGAGTTGACACAGTTACTTTTTGCTGATGATACTGTGCTTATGGGAAATTCTAAAGAAAAGTTGCAAAGGTTAGTGGATGAGTTTGGGAGGGTGTGTAAAGGTAGAAAGTTGAAAGTGAACATAGAAAAGAATAAGGTGATGAGGGTACCAAATGATTTATATAAAGAAAAAATGGATATCACATTGGAGAGAGGGAGTATGGAAGAAGTGAATGTTTTCTGATATTTGGGAGTTGACATGTCAGCAGATGGGTTTATGAACGATGAGGTTAACCATAGAATTGATGAAGGACAAAAGGTTAGTGTTGCATTGATGTATATGTGGAGACAAAAAAACATTATCTATGGAGGTAAAGAAGGGAATGTATGAAAGTATAGTGGTACCAACACTCTTATACGAGTGTGAAGCTTGAGTTGTAAATGCTGCAGCGAGGAGGCGGTTGGAGGCAGTGGAGATGTCCTGTCTAAGGGCAATGTGTGGTGTAAATATTATGCAGAGAGTTCGGAGTGTGGAAATTAGGAGAAGGTGTGGAGTTAATAAAAGTATTAGTCAGAGCGCTGAAGAGGGGTTGTTGAGGTGGTTTGGTCATTTAGAGAGAATGGATCAAAGCAGAATGACTTGAAGAGCGTATAAATCTGTAGGGGAAGGAAAGCAGAGTAGGGCGAGTCCTCGAAAAGGTTGGAGGGAGGGGGTAAATTAGGTTTTGTGGGCGAGGGTCTTGGACTTCAGCAAGCATGTGTGAGCGGGTTATATAGGAGTGAATGGACACGAATGGCTTTTGTGACTTGACAAGGTGTTGGAGTGTGAGCAGGGTAATATTCAGTGGAGGGATTCAGCAAAACCGGTTATTCTTATATAGCCAGACTTGAGTACTGGAAATGGGAAGTACAGTGGAACCTCTACTTGCGAGTTTAATCCATTCCACGACCTTGCTCGTAACTGGAGTAGCTCGTTTGCAAAATCAATTTTCCTCATTTAAATTAACTGAAATGCAATTAATCTATTCCAGTGGAATTCTGTACTTCAATAATTTTGCTAGTATCAACTCTACGGCTTATTTATCTATCTCACTTCATCTAATATGACATAATAAACAATATAAAAAACATATAAACCTGATATATACTCTGAAATGAATAAAATATGTCATTTATGTAGTGGTATGGGCGGTGTCGACGGTGGACTAGAGTTTGTCTGGAGACCGGGCAAAATACTTCATGAATAATTTATCATCTATACGGCTTATTTATCTATCACAGTTCATCTAATATGACATAACAAACAATATAAATAACATAGAAACATGATATATACTCTAGAATGAATAAAATATGTCATTATGTAACAGGTGGAGGCAGCCACAACCGCTCCCTCTTTGTTGTGGTAAACACTGCCATCTAGTGACTGCCATTTGAAGCTGTCTATTATTATAATTATTATATGTAGTATATTTTTTTTTTTATTCGCCGGTACTCTCCCGGCTCGGGTCTTTGGTGACCCAGCCTTGGCTCCCTATCTGGGGAGTGTCTCGAGACCTAAGTCTCCGATGAGAGGAGGTACAAGTACCACATCATCTTTGGGACCAAGTGTCCCCCAGCCTAGCCACAGTCCCTGCCCAGAAGCTAGACCTCTGGTCTGCCATCTGCCCTGCCTCAATGGGGCTCTAGGGGATGGCAGTCTTGTGAGCTGCAAGTGATAGCAAACTCAGACCTCTCTCTACATTATGTTTTTTTTTATTCGCCAGTACTCTCCCGGCCCGGGTCTTTTCCAAGTAGTGGTGTTCTATTCTATCTATTTGATTCGCCGGTATGGTATCCCGGCCCAGGTCTCTTCCATTTTGGTGACCCAGCATTGGCTCCCCGGGTAGGGAAGGGTCGTTATCTTTTCTTGCACATGCTTGGCAGTTCTTCAGCGGGAAGGGGGGGTACCTCACCGGCTCTATGGCCAGATGACGTACCAAACTTTAGTGTGCACTAACGGCTGCTGGTGTGTGGTGCAATGGAGGCCCAAAGCAGGCCCTCACAATGACCTCAGCAGGGGGGGGGGGGGGGATGTGCAATGACTGGATGTGCAATGACTGACAGTTAAGTACACAAGATGTGCTGCCTTGTCCTCTCGGAGTCCACTGGGGTCATTGAAGGTGTCTACGGCGAAGGGGCATCGTAGCTGGGCAGTCTAACAGGTAGTGCACCAAGGGCTTTGGAACCATTCGGTCACAATGGGCACAGAGCTCCTCTTGTGCCCGTTCAACAATCAGTGCAGTGGTGGGATACCCTAAGCGTAGGCGGTGGATATGCACCCTCAGTTCTCTGGACTGTGTCCGAATACTTGGAGGGGGCGCCCTGTGGGTCGCCCTGTGGAGGCTCCGTGAATCCCCAGAGTCAGGGAGTGGGCGCCTGGCCGCACCGGCAGCCCACAGTGCAATCTGGCTGAGGCTGATCAAGATTGCAGCATGTGGCTGTGCCTCGAGGGTTGCAGTCCTAGCAGCCTCATCTGCAGCATCATTGCCAGGGATACCCACATGGCTCGGGATCCAGTTGATGGTGGCCCTGCGACCCTGGGCCATGAGAGTCTGCAGGTCACCTGGGATGGATGTGATTAAGTGTATGTTGTCCTTTGGCTCTCTCTGCATAATTGCTTGGATTGCTGCCTTGGAATCAACGTGGATGACAGGGGGATGCTGATGGTCTGC